GTAAATAGAATCTGTTCCTATTTCTTGCCAAACACTTAGAATGTCTGATTTCTCCTTTGTGTACAAAAAATTGTTAAAATGTATAAACGATAATATAACTAAATGATAAAGATAGCTCCAATGCAGTGTTAAAATTATACATTTAAGGCCCAAGCGTAAATCGTTGCAGGATTGGGGCCGTAGGTTGCTATTGGTGGGGAGGGGAGAGCACATATCATGTCTATCTCTGTACAGGGCTCCAGTCCTCTTTTGGCCATCTAGGTGCTACCCGAGAGAACTAATAATCAGGGCCCTGTGTACTTCATGGCACAATGGAACCAAAAATCATAGCTACCCTTAAATTCCACAGCAATATTAGTTCATTCTACTGCCATTAAATACCCTGAATTCCCATCTTCCACCCATATACACTCAAACACATCTCTGGCTCATAGCTGAAAAAAACTCATTGATGTAAAATTCTTCATTTTACACCGTGTTTATTTTTCCGGATGGGTTTTTCCTTACTCTCTTCAGGTGTCCTGGCTCCATTTCTTGGCTCCCATAATGCCAAGTAATCCAGCTCAGAACCTCTTTCATCCTCCAGAGTGGGGAGCTTTTAGCTGTCTTCAGCAATTTTACCTCCCCAGCTTACTGGGCTTCAGCTGGTATGCTGTTGTCCGTGCAACAGCCCAGACTTTTGGCTCCTGTCACTTCCTGGCTACAAGCTGGACATGCCCACTCTAACACCTTTTACTTTCTGCTGCCTGGCTCCATGGAAGAACATGCTCTTTAATCCCATTAATTCCCCTTTATAGGGAAAGTTGGGGCGCAAGACACAGCTGCATGTAGGTCCAAGAAGGGCAGGGAGAGAGAAGACAAAATGCTGGGCACATAGTTATAACAAAACAGTAAATTCAGTGGCAGAAATGCTGAATTCCATAGTATTTGGGGAAAATGCCAATTTCTATAGCTGCAGAACAATGGAGTCCACAGGGTTCTGACAGAAGTGAATGGATCAGGCCACACATCAGACTCCCTGCAGCATTTTACTTGTAATTCATGTTTTTGATGTTTTCTACCCAACCATAAAGGTTAGAAATGATATTTTTAAAATGAAAGCTACATATCTCTGCAGCACAATTCTGCAATAAGTGTGATTTCCATGATAAGATTTGCAGATGAGAAATTATGACTATATGAGGCCCTATAGTAATAGGAAATAAGCTGGAGGTCAGGAAAGGAGGGAGGAAGTTGCCATCGTTGCTACCTCCACCGAGACAGTATATATTCTGAAGGCTGTGTTAAAATTGCACTAGCATATCAGTTGTGCTTGTGTAAATGTTTGAATCAGTCCCTTGTTTGAGAAGTGCAACCTTAACTCCTATTTGTTTGGTGTTTTTAGCTCCTATATTGTTGAAAAGTAAAAGGCATTGAAACCACAGATAGGTTCAGTACCCACAACCTTAAATCTAGCCTAACAAAAAAACAAAACAAAAACACACCCAGCTGTTTGGAAATCTAAGTACAGTTTTCAAAGGGGTATTTATTTGGTTCCTGTAGACCAGTCCTCTCACTTCATTCAGCTAAATGTGTTCTGTGTCAATTGTTGCTGAATCACTTACTCGTGGACACAGGACCAGCAAAAGATTAGAAGAAATGCCCTTGTTATAGAGACAGGCTGAAGCTGATAAATATTCACATAGATCAGCACAATCTCCTACAAATGAATTTAGGAGATCTTGCTGGCTCTGAGGTGGCACATTGGTTCAACAGGACTTATTTATGAGATTTCATACTACAGCTTTAATAAAATGAAACTTAAACACCGTATGCCTTATTCATTGCAAAACAAGGAATGTTTTATTTCATTAGATCCCTTCTTAGATGTGTGTGAAGGTTGGGGCAGAGCTGTCTAATGGCCAAAACCAGTACAAAGTCAGACTTCTGGAAATCTGTTGCAGCTCTGTGAACTTGAGCAAGTCACTTAACCTCTTTGTGCTTCAGTTTCCCCACTTGTAGGATGGGGATAATATATACCCACTTCATAGGAGAATTCTAGAAGATAACATATTTTTTGTTTCTTTGTTTTTTAAGGCTGGAAGGGGCCATTATGACTGTCTCATCTGAAGCATGATGCAGGTCATAGACCATCACCCATTAATTCCCACATCAAGCTTTTGTTTGAGCTTAAGCATAACCTGCAAGACCCTGCTTACACGAGTAGTCTTTAAATACATGGTCAGAATATTAAAGACACTGAGTTGCTCAGATACTACAAAAAGAACAGGAGTACTTGTGGCACCTTAGAGACTAACAAATTTATTTGAGCATAAGCTTTCGTGGGGTACAGCCCACTTCATCGGATGCATAGAATGGAACATATAGTAAGAAAATATATATGTGTGTGTGTATATATATATACACACACACATACATACATACAGAGAACATGAAAAGGTGGAGGAAGAGGCTAAATTAATTAAGATGAGCTATTATCAGCAGGAGAAAAAAAACTTTTGTAGCGATAATCAAGATGGCCCATTTAGACAGTTGAAAAGAAAGTGTGAGGTTACTTAACATGGGGAAATAGATTCAATATGTGTAATGACCCAGCCACTCCCAGTCTCTATTCAAACCCAAGTTAATGGTATCTAGTTTGCATATTAATTCAAGCTCAGCAGTTTGTCGTTGGAGTCTGTTTTTGAAGCTTTTCTGTTCCAAAATTGCCACCTTTAAGTCTGTTACTGAGTGGCCAGAGAGGTTGAAGTGTTCTTCTACCAGTTTTTGAATGTTATGATGTCAGATTTGTGTTCATTTATTCTTTTGCATAGAGACTGTCCAGTTTGGCCAATGTACATGGTAGAGGGGCATTGCTGGCACATGATGGCATATATCACATTGGTAGATGTGCAGGTGCATGAGCCCCTGATGGCGTGGCTAATGTGATTAGGTTCTATGATGGTGTCACTTGAATAAATATGTGGACAAATTTGGCATCGGGCTTTGTTGCAAGGATAGGTTCCTGAGTTAGTGTTTTTGTTGTATGGTGTGTGGTTGCTGGAGAGTATTTGCTTCAGGTTGGGGGGCTGTCTGTAAGTGAGGACTGGTCTGTCTCCCAAGATCTGTGAGAGTAAGGGATCATTTTTCAGGATAGGTTGTAGATCTTTGATGATGCGCTGGAGAGGTTCTAGTTGGGGGCTGAAGGTGACAGCTAATGGCGTTCTGTTATTTTCTTTGTTGGGCCTGTCCTGTAGTAGGTGACTTCTGGGTAACCTTCTGGCTCTGTCAGTCTGTTTTTTCACTTCAGCAAGTGGGTATTGTAGTTTTAAGAATTTTTGATAGAGATCTTGTAGGTGTTTTTCTCTGTCTGAGGGATTGGAGCAAATGCAGTTGTATCTTAGAGCTTGGCTGTAGACAATGGATCGTGTGGTATGTCCTGGATGGAAGCTGGAGGCATGTACGTAAGTATAGCGCTCAGTAGGTTTCCGGTATAGGGTGGTGGTTATGTGTCCATCATTGGAGCCTATAATACCTTAGATAGTCATGTGCCTACTGCAAGTAAAGCATTTTGAGGGATTTACTGATTAATGGTGATGTAGAAATGCAAAATAACCTTATAGGACAGATTTTTTTTTTTAAGTGTGGATCTTATTGTATAAAATTCTTCTGATTCACATGGTGTATAAACCACCCTTGAGAACTGAAAACCTCTAGGCATTCTAACAGTGTACATATGTGAAATGGGTTTTGTTGTGCTGAGACTCTACAATGGTCTATCATACGTATATATCAAATGTCCCTCACTTTATTCCTCTTATTGTAAAATTAGCTCAGAAATGCTGGGTCATGAAACTGAGATAATAGAAAACATTATTTATGTGGAAAATACCACTGCCCATTTTAGGAAACGGCATTATGAATATCTCAACTGTCAGACTGAGCACATAGTGGTTACAACCAAGTTAGAACAGCATTGTTAGTAGACACCACTTTAAAAGTCCTGCACTACTCTTTTTCTTGTTGTATCCCACAGGATCCTGCAGCCCATATGTGTATATAACTAAAGCCACACAACTGTTATTGAAGTCAGAGGAAGTTGTCTATGCATATGGGCGGTAGAACAAGTGGAAAGGGCTAGACAGTATAATATTTCAGAGGAAACTTTTTAATATTTATTAGGTAGCCTAGCACCAAAGCACTCAAGGTTCCATACTACATTATTAAAAATACAATAAAAATATACAATAACTCATTTCATTAATTGTCTGTATGTGAAATGTCTGTAGTTGAATACTAAAGGATAATGAAGGGTGCAGCCTTCACAGTGGAATTTCACAGATGACAAGTTTTCTTGTGTTAAATCCTTAGTGCCAAGGATTCAAGTATATCTTCAGCATGAGATACAAAAAACTTGGCTTCCTTTATTAATATCACTTCAATTAATAGTGCTAAATGTGTCAATTTTGTGTGCCAGCCCGTCTAGTTTTAGTAATAGGAAATCACCAACAACTGGCTGAAGACTCGACAAAATATAGATGCCCCTGACACTTTTTAAATATAAATAAGAGATCTCTATAGATGTATACAAATAAATATTGGAAGTCTTTACTGGCCCTCCATCTAGCCATTATCAGTTGGTAATTTCCTTTAGGCAATTTAGGTGAGTCTTGACAGATTAGAAAGAGGACAGCAGAGTGGCTTTATAGTCTATCTTTTGGAGCAGTTAACTCAGTAGCATAAACTCAATTTAACCTAGTAAAGTCCAGTGAGTGAATGCAAGAGAAAAATCCTAAAACATTCTGTTGAGGTTGAGCAATCCCTATCAGCCTGCACACTGGAAACCAAGGTAATGTTAAGAAACAAATATGCTCCTCTGTCTCTTTGTTTAGACTGCTTATTTTTGATGATTGAGGATTATAGATTTTTTTCAAGACCAATCTTAGTCTAATAAAATGTTCATCTGAATCCATGTGTGGTAGTGTGTGTGTGTATATATATATTTTTTTTTCTTACTACAGGTTGACATATGGTCCAAATCCAACTATCAGGTTTTTCAGAAGGTAAGTCCGACACCATTTACTTTCTACCCCGTACCTATAAGAGAAATGTGGATTCTGTGTCTTGCAGAACTTCTTGATTTTGAATAGACAAACACTTTGCAAAAGCAATTAGGTATTGTGTTATTTGTCAGCCATCTTAAATGTGACTATAAAACTTCCATCACGGCTTGCAAAGAACAAAATATAATCTCCAATGATTGAAGATAGTAAATAGGACAAAAATAGGATACACTTTTTTTTTGTTCTCAGATTTACACTTATATCCTGGCATATCTCTGACCCTAGCCATGGTGATCAGGGTCCAAACTATGGGACTTTCTCCTCTCTAGCCTGAGAAAACATTTTTTTACTTATTTACTTTTGAGCTTTAGTTTGATTAATTCTTTCTAAGTAGTTTAAGTCTAAAAATCTATTCTTTTGCTTTCTCAGTTTAAAGGAAAAAGTGCATCCTCTCTGGGGAGGGAAGTCAACAGGCACCATTTCTAAACTTCTCTGAAACAAATTCCACACATTCCTCTTCTTGAGGTTTAATTTTAATAAGTCAGTGGGACTTGGGCAGTTCTGAAAATTTTACCTTAAAGCTAGCTATTGGACCTGTTTGTCCTCTCATGCTCCTGTAAACTAAAGTAATTCCCCTGAAATCAGGGGCATTCCACGTATGTGAGAATGGTATGGGACAAAAATAAGCCCAGTAAGTATAAACCTGCCAAGAATTTGAAGACACTTTTAGACATTGTGCTTTTTTTTCAAGGCAAGTGAAATAAAATTTCTCTATGAAAACCTCTGGCCAAAATGTTGTAAGTTCAAACTGAACTGGCTTTAAATTACAATTTCATTACATTTAAACCACAGTTCGAGGAATTTAAGGCTCAAGCTACTATATTCCTTTCATCTACTTCTGTAGTTTGTGTAACAACTATGGGTCAGGGACTCTAAAGGGCATAAAAGAAGGGGTCAAAACTAAAGGTATATCACCTGTAGTTGAGCATAAATGTTCCCAAAAATCCAAACTCCCTCCCAGGATTTCATGTGCAGTCAAAAGAAAAGCATTTTTGACCTATGATACTAACCCGCTAAAGATCAAAGGGGGCAGCTTTTTGGGAGGTAGGTAGCAGTCCCTCCCTGACTAGTATTAAGCCAGAAAGAATACCACTGTAGCTCTTTCTTTACTCTAGAGACAGGTAAAGGATTCTTTAATCAGTTAATTCTTCTCTGTCCACAAAAATATTTTCTTTCCTATGTCAGGAAGAGAAGAATGCAGTGGAAAGTAAGTTAGTGCAGAATTAATCTTAATAATCCTTTATCAATAATGCTTTGAAGTAATTATTGCAATGGAACAGGTTTAGGTTTTTGTAATTAAGTATGTCTTCTGAAATTCTCCATGTGTTTTACATTATGATCTCAAGAGAAAGAGGCTGCATCTTCCTATATGTTTGTACAGTGCCAACTACATTTTGGGAATAAATGTATTGCAAATCATCATAATAGGCATTCCTTAGATGTTTAGTTTAGAATATATTTTTAAAAGGGACCAACCAACGTACTTAGTAATAGTTCTCACCTTAGTGCAATCAGTTTGAGAAGTGGGTAGAAGTATCCGCTACACATTCTAAACTGTAAATATAATTGGTAAAAAGATGAGGAATTCTTTTACAGTTTATGCCACCAGTTCAAAGCCAGCCCAATGGCTGCATAATAGTTAGTGAAGCAAGTTGGAAGTCTCAGTACAGTTCCTACTTGTTAGGAATCCACATAATAGCCGCTATCACACTGGATGCTAGTTGGCCCTGTGATTTTACCTAGCTTCTAACTAAGATATTTATAGGGCAATAATCAGAGTAGTATCTAGGTGCAAAATGACGATAAAAATTAGTTTGGCAGTCTCAGTTCAATCCAGAAGTTTAAGCATGTACAGTGGACTTCCCCTCCCTCCTGGGTGGTGGCCCGTCAGGTCAGAGGTGAGGTAGTTTGGTGAGAAAGTATGGGAGAAACCTGTACTTCCTTTGTTCACATCCCATTACCCACAGGAGAGGGGTAAGTCTTTGTTCTCTAGCACTGTCATTGCAGCACAATTAACTCACTAAATTTTCTTTTAAAATATTAAGTTAATTAAATTCAATGAAATATGTAGAGTGCTGGTTTGAATACATATCAGTAGTGAAAAGAAACTTTAACCATCTCATATCTATCTAGGGGCTGTATAGGAAATAAACCCGCCAAAACTGACATATAAATCCATACCTTTAATACTGCATGCAGTTCTGGTCTCCCTGTCTCAAAAAAGATATATTAAAATTGGAAAAGGGTACAGAGAAGGGCAACAAAAATGATTAAGGGTATGGAACAGTTTCTCTGTGAGGAGAGGTTAAAGACTGGGACTTTTCAGCTTGGAAAAGAGACAACTAAGGGGGGATATGTTAGAGGTCTATAAAATCATGAATGGTATGAAGAAAGTGAATAAGGAAATGTTATTTACTGCTTCATATAACACAAGAGTCATGGGTCACCCAATGAAATTAATAGGAAGCAGGTTTAAAACACACAAAAGGAAGTGCTTCTTCATACAACACACAGTTAACCTGTGGAACTTGTAAGGCCAAAAGTATAACTGGATTCAAGAAAGAATTAGATAAGTTCATGGAGGATAGGTCCATCAATGGCTATTAGCCAAGATGGTCAGGGATGCAAACCCATGCTCTAGATGTCCCTAGTCTCTGGCTGCCAGAAGCTGGGAGTGGATGACAGGGGATGGATCACTCACTGATTGCCTGTTCTGTTCATTTCCTCTGAGGCATCTGGCATTGGCCACTATCAGAAGAGAGGATACTCAGTTAGATGGACCATTGGTCTAACTTAGTATGGCTGTTCTTATGTTCATTTTTCATTGCAAATAGTCTACAACTTTTCATTCATAATTGAAATAGAATTAAATTATCTGAATATTAAATTACTATTTATCATTCCTATCCAGGAAAACTAATCAAATAATATAAAACGGATTAGTTTAAAATAAGAAACACATGGTTGCTGGAGGGAGGAAGTGTTGTCTAATGGCTTGAGCGAGGGTCTGTTACGCAGGGGTTTTTGAGTTCTGTCCCAGCTTTGCCACTAACTCACTGTGCTACCTTGAGTAATCACTTAACCTCTCTGTGGATCAGTTTCCCTCTGTTTAAAATAGGGATTATACTTTCCTACCTCACAGGAGCTCTGAATCTTGGTTGCATTGCTTCGAGTTTCTTGGATGAAAAACATTATAGAAATGCAAAATATCATTTCTTCCTGAGAATCAGTAGCAGAGCCTATAACTGTGCACTAATAGGGAAATAAGTTAAAACTAGGACCTAGAAAAATATAGTCAACATTTCTAAACAGCTGGTGGAAAATGCTGTGATTTTGCTTTTTTTATTCTCTGATGAAGTTATGCTCCCATCAAATTCTTTTTAATACATTGAAATAATGATATAGCAACATGAGCTAAAGGATATCAGATAAAGTAGTGTTGGAGAAGTGATTTTAGTCTGGCACTCTTAAATCTCCAGAATAAATGTTTTCCCACCATTTTTTGAATTTATCTCTGTCTACCCATGTCACAACATATCTGTATGTCCATGAAATCTTTCTCTATGTGCAGTCAGTGTTGACCCTTTGTGGAAATGGCTCAGTTTTCACCTTCTCAGAAGAGCAACAATGACTTCCACCAAGGAGGCTGGGAAGCCCTTTGACTGTGTCCGTTTCCTTTAATGCTGCAGAATCCATCATTCCTTTGAAGGGCAGGGACATTTATTTTTAAAAAGCTGGACGTAGTTCCCAAACTCTCTTCAATGACAATATAACAACATCTGGAGCTCACAAGATATCTGCTCATGGAAGCTGCAAACCTGTCAAATTCTCACAGGACTGCAGCATGACTTTCTAGGTTAAGGACCAGAGACCTGTGATCCTTTATCCAACCCTGTCAAATGAAGCTAAATTTGTCCTGACTTTCGTCTGCAACCGTTGGCTGTGTCAGCAAGCCTTTTCTCTCCTCCTTATTAGACAGGATACCCATGTGTGTATAATACCAAGGGGGAGAACTCCCAGTGGGCCCATTACTGCTAAAATGTACAGTCATTTACTAAGGTTCCCTGGAGACTTCTTGAACTTCGTCCTGGGGTGAATAAGCTTTTATAGCCACCAAATCTACCAGCAGGGTTAGTCTCAGAGAATGGAACTTAAAAATAAGGGGGGAATATTTGAAAGGGCAAAACCACAAACAATAAAGAAAAGGTTTACTTGTTTCCATATTTTTCTGACATTTAAACTCAGCAGGTGCGGTGACTGTTTTGATCTTTAACCTCCCTATTTTAACACCTCACATGTCTTCATTCAGTAACCTAAGAGGAGGAATAAGACAAGAAATTTAGAAATATTTACTGTTTAAATTTTGCTGTGAAATCTGAAAAATAGAGGTGAGGGGTATGGAATGCCAAGTAGGTGACTTGAAGGAAAATATTGTAGTGACTGGAGCAAGCTTCATAGCTTCTCATTCAGAGGGAGAGTAGAAGGAAAAAGGACAGTGTAGTTATTTTTATTGTAGTGTAGTGAATGAAACACTTTACCAGTAGCTAACTTCTACCCTTAACTATCAGTTGAGCCCTTCAGTAACAAGATATAGTTAATCTGTCTAATGTAATTTATTCCTTCTCTTCCCCCACACCCCCAATTAGCTATTTGATCCATAGGCACCATGTAAACTCACATGTATTCCTGCCAATTCAGTCTTGTCCTACAGCACCCCTGGTAGCCTAATAGTGGGCTATCCTAAACAGAGATTCACAGTAGTCAGATTGCAAGTTGGTTGTATGATGGTTTCACATGTACAGCAGGGACTAAACAATCCTTTAGATTTCTTCTTTGAGATCCTACCTACATTTGAACCCAAGCTTCAAGAGATTTCGAAGAATCATAGAATATCAGGGTTGGAAGGGACCTCAGGAGATCATCTAAGTCCAACCCCCTGC